TAAAACTGACTTTGACCGTGTAGGATGTCATTTTTGGATCTGAAGGTACCGCTCAGGCAGATTTTGAGCGCATGGAAGAGATCAATGCCGAGATTGGTCTTACGCAGATTCTGCGTGGCCAACATGGAGTAGTCAATGCTTCATATGCTGGTTCGTCGGAGAAGGAGAAGGAGAAGGTTGAGGAGCATACTGAGAGGCTTTAAGGGGCGAGGAGGAGTTGGATCACTGTGAAGAGGGAACACGGTCTTTTGCTTTTAGCGCGGAGAGCGTCTGAGGAGGGGCCAGTCGTGACTTTAAGTGATCAATAAATTGATGGAATTTACAGGATGGTGAAATCCAAAATAATTAGATGCAAATCCTTGTTGCAGGGTAAATCGCTGGTGGAGGGGTAGATGCCGGACTTTGCGGATCGTCCTCCTTCAACGGTGTAGGTGAGAAAGGACGCTGGACCAAAAAGCGTCTGAAATTGACAATTCGGAATGACGTGCCAATTCGCGGAAGAAAACATAAAAATAAATGACCCAAAACCCAAAATTCATTGTTGAACGATCAGCAAACCGTCAGTTTTTGAAACTGCCAGCGGTTTTGCCAATGTCAAAACAAGCATTGGCCAGCCAGTCAGCAGTCGCCAAGTGCCATGCGGACGACAGCCCCGAATCCACCTGAACTTCCCGCCAAGGGTGGGGTGTGCTCACCTGTTCCCCCCCAATTGGTCGCTGTGGAAACGAGAAAATGGAGTCACCAAAACAGGCCCAATGCGCCAATCCCAGTCCAGAAATCCACGACGAAGCCCACGCTTGAACAGCAAGGGTCCTCAACTCTCTCTGAACGTCATTCTTTTCCTTTTCTTCAACTCAGGGAGAGGCCGCAGTTGCCCCATTGGATGTTGTGCGGCTGTCGACAACAAACATTTTTTTTTCCTTTTTTTTTTTCTTTCCGTATTGACTATCACAACGACTTGAGAGTCTGTTTACATTTTTGCGGTGAAGAAGCCCTCGGCACCTAATTGCTGCCCACCATGGCTGCTATTGATCCGAATGCTTCTTCCATTACCGTAGCGGTACGAGTGCGGCCGTTTACCATTCGAGAAGCTGCACAACTGTGAGCCTAATACCCACCCGCATACCGATTCGACTACCTCGCTTGGAAACTGACGGCCAGCAGAGTCCGAAATGACGATAGCACAGTGTTTCTCGGAGATGGGTCGCTCGCTGCGGCGCCCACGCCTAAGCTGCACCAGCGCGGCCTCAGACCCGTCATCAAAGTAGTCGACGACAGATGCCTAGTATTCGACCCCCCAGAGGACAACCCGGTCCAGAAGTTCTCCCGATCGGTCGTTCCAAAGATGGGAAAGAAGGTGAAAGACCAGGTCTTTGCCTTTGACAGAATATTCGACGAAAACGCGGCACAGGCCGATGTCTACGAAGGAACCACGAGAGGTCTGTTGGATAGCGTTCTAGACGGATACAATGCCACCGTGTTTGCCTACGGCGCCACGGGCTGCGGCAAGACACATACTATTACTGGCACACCGTCGTCGCCCGGTATCATCTTCATGACTATGCAGGAACTCTTCGAGAAGATTGCCGAACGGAGCGACGAGAAAGTGACCGAAGTTACCCTTTCATACCTCGAAATCTACAATGAGACGATTCGCGATTTGTTAGTACCCGGCGGAAGCAAGCAGGGTCTAATGCTTCGTGAGGATTCGAACCAGACGGTGTCGGTGCCTGGACTCACCAGCTACAAGCCGAATAACGTGCAGGAGGTCATGGATATGATTGTTCAGGGTAACGAGTACCGAACTGTATCGCCAACAGCAGCCAACGCGGTTTCGTCTCGATCCCACGCCGTTTTGCAGATCAACGTCGCGCAGAAGGACCGCAACGCCGATATCAATGAGCCTCATACTATGGCCACTCTCAGCATTATCGATTTGGCTGGCAGCGAACGCGCCAGTGCGACCCAGAACCGAGGAGAGAGGTTAATCGAAGGCGCAAACATCAACAAGTCCCTCCTTGCTCTCGGCAGCTGCATCAATGCGCTCTGCGACCCACGGAAAAAGAACCACGTTCCCTACCGAAACAGCAAACTCACCCGTCTCCTCAAGTTCTCTCTTGGCGGTAACTGCAAGACAGTCATGATTGTCTGCGTCAGCCCTTCGAGCGAGCATTTCGACGAGACCCAGAATACCCTTCGATATGCCAACCGGGCCAAGAACATCCAGACCAAGGTCACCCGCAACGTCTTCAACGTCAACCGCCACGTCAAGGACTTTTTGGTCAAGATTGACGAGCAAATGGCAATGATCAACGAGCTCAAGGCGCAGCAGAAGGATGCTGAAAAAATCTTTTTTGCAAAGTTCCAGAAGCAGATGGACAAGCGGGATGGTTCGGTCAAGGAGGGAATTGCTCGGCTGCGCGCCGCCTACGAGAATGCCGCCCAGGAGCGTCAGGACAAGGTCAATCTGATGAAGAAGCTCAAGGCTTTTGAGAGGAGGATTGGACTCTTGTCTGCTTGGATAGCGGCGTTTGATGCTGTGTGTGACGGCCGGGGTGACGAGGAGACGACTCCTTCGAACCTGACTGCCATGCGCAAGACTGCGCACGGGATATTGGTCGAGCTGGAGAGCAGCAGACATCATATTCGGCAAAAGATGGAGAGAACGAACTGGGAGCGGGCGCTAGATTCTGCCTTGAATCACGGCATTGCCGCGCTGCCCAAGAGCGATGGAATTACTGACGCCTCCGAGAGGGATAGACTAACCAGAGAAGCCGAATCTCTCAAAGCAACCTTTATGCGGGATGCTTACTGGGAGGTGCTGGAGCAGGATAAGGCCGGTGATGCGGCTACGATGCAAGTCCTGCTGACCGCCCAGTTCGAGATTCTGTCTTCTCTCTCCGAGACCCTCGATATGAGCGAGGACGAGGCTATTACTCGCGCCAGGGGGATTATTAACCGACTCCTGGAGACTGGATACTCGGCAGCTTCCCACGTCGTCAAGCCGGACGGATCCATGATGCCAGTGGAACTCTTCCCGCCGACCAAGCGCGGGACGCCGAAGCGAAAGAAGTCGATCAGCATACACAACACGAAAGCGATCCCGGTTCCCGGACTCGCCTCGGCAGTACTGTCAGCAACGGCGAATCAACAACAGCAGGTACTTGTTTCTCCGATGAAGGCATCTCCGCGACGTCGTAAGGTCGGCAGCGCCGGAAGGAAGGGTGTGTCATTTACGCCCGCCAAAAAGAAGCACTCTGTCCGCTGGCGCGATGACGAGACGGAGGATGGAACCCTGGCTGACTTCGAGAAGACTCCCCAGAAGTTGTTTTCCCCCCTTCCAGAATCCCGTTCCCCTTCGAGAGAAGAACTGTCTCCCGGTAAACCACATGTTGCGGCATATTTGAACCACATGGAATCGCCCAAGTCAACAACAGCAGCAGCAACTGCCCGGAATGCCAGCAACCGGAGTGACTCGCCCACCTTGACCCTTCCGGACGTTTCTTCGCTTCATATCACCAAACCCACCAACAGCCGATTCCAAGCCGGGTTCCTTTCCAAGGGCGCCAGGCCGTCACTAATTCCGAATGGGTCGCCTACCCCTCCCACTTTCTCTCTCAACCTTGGCTCTTCAGATACTGAGTCATCTTCACCCGATCCGAATCGTCCTAGCCCCCTCCGCAGTCTCCCTGTAAGTAGAGCAGGGAATACCCTCTCCCCTCCTACCATCCGTGCCTCCTTTAGTCCCAAGAATTCTTTGGGAAGCACTCTGTCTACACTAGACGAGAATGAGCCTCCTTCCAACCAGCAGCTCCCCCCTCAACAACCGCAGCGGTTGTCTCCTTCCCGCCTGCCCAGAGCGTCTCTTGGTTCCAACTCTGGTGCCGGGTCAGACTCTGAGAACTCGACGATAATGGATCCTATGAAAATTCGTTCGGCGATGCAGGCTGTTAAAAGGAAGGAGAGACTGTCATTACATAGCGCCGGGACTGCTGCATCCAATGCAAAGAGGGTGAGCTCCGGCGCCGGGGTTATTCCATCTCATCATCATGCCAGCCGAAGAGTGAGTGTGGGAGCGCCGTTGGCCAGTTCGACGAATGGGATTTCGAGACATAGGAGAGGGAGTACGACTGCTGAACGCAGGAGGAGCCCGCCGATTAGTTGTTCGCCTCCTAGCTTGAGAGGGGAAGATGGGGACAGGAGTATCATGTCGGTTGTTGCCGGCGGTGGTGGATTTGGGGTTGGGGGAAGCAAGAGTTTGACTAGCGGACAGGCGAGACGGATGGGTGCCGCTTTTAGGACAGGAGAGACGAATGGGGGACATAGTCCGGGGAGTGGGAGAGCGGGATTGACGCCTGGACCTTTTCCGGGGATTTCAGGGGTTGATGGTAAGAGTAGGAGGATTACCATTGGTTCTCTCGGTGGATCTGGCGGCGGCGGTGGTGGGAGTTTGAAGGGGAGGTCGGGGCAGTTTGTTTGGCGGTGATATTGATGGGGGAATGACATTGCGTTGACGACGGCGTGTGATGATGGAGTTTATTGATTGGATATGGGATCGGTCGGAGTTTTTTTTTTTCTGATTGAGTTGCTCATGAACATTATATGGGGGCAGAATATCAGTTACACACACACACACACACACTTCTTCGCCTTTTTTCTCTCTTCTTTTTACAAACATCGTCATTGGGAATTCGGGGGGATAAAGTCATTATTTGGTAAAGCGGGGTGGGGTGTTTGGGTTTGACTTGTTTTTTTTCTCTTTTTCTTTTCTGACGAGTTGTTCCGACGTTGTATATTTTTCAGGAGAGCCCAGGGAGGAATTGCAAAGTCTTTTTCTCTTGTATGTATGTATACACTTGAATGGAAATGGAATATGAACATGACGTCCTGCATGGTGGTGGTGGTAGTGGTGGTGATCAGCTATATGGAACCCCGTGGTTTTGTTGATAAGGTCTTGTTCCCAAAACCTGAGCACTTCCCCGATTACACATTAAAGAGTAGGGCCGCTGGTCTAGTGGTATGATTCTCGCTTAGGGTTACAACCCGAAGTCTTAAATGTTCTTACAAAAAAAGAAGCATGCGAGAGGTCCCGGGTTCAATCCCCGGGTGGCCCCGATTCATTTGAGTTTCCTTTTTTCTTCTCTTTTTTTTTTTTTTGCTCTCTCTTCGAGTATCATATTCTCTCTCGATTGCGGTCAATGAAGAGTCCATTTCTCGGAGGAGAAAAAAAAAAAAAAAAAGGGGCCAAGAAAGCGCCGCCACACCCCCAAATCCACATTTTATTGATTGCAGGTGACGGCAATACGGCAATAACATAACGTGATCTTGCTTCGTATGGGATGGATGGTTTGTGTGTATGTGTGTCTGCCTTGGGTTGCTTGATTCCCCGCACCTCTTTTTTGACGGAAGCTTCTCTTCAATTATTAAACAAGGCACTGATCTCCTCCCCCGCACTTGATAATCATACCTGTCTTCACTTTTGTCGGAAATATTGTATGCGCGTTTTTTTTTGTTTTTTTTTTCATCTCTGACATCATGACAACTTCTCGTCCTCTCCATCCCAGGAGCTTACCGGGAGATAATAACCTGGACTTTGACGAACCCCCACCACCATACTCGGCATCACCACCTTCCTCTACAGTTGCCGACAACAACAACTTACCACCTACTCCTACTTACACACCCGCGATTCCTGCAACCACCACAAATGTCACAACAAGAGAATCCCCCCCACCCCAGCGAGGACAACTCCTCTACACTGCACACCCCCTAATCCCTCCACCATCATACTCACGACGTGACCCGCCGCCACAGCTATCAACAAGACGAACCCGCGGAGCACACTCCCAAACAGCAGCAGCAGCAGTCGGTTTCCTCTCCGCCTACGAAGAAAAGTCCCGCCTCGCCAAGCTCCTCTCCAAGCACCGGTGGAGGACGTACTACGGGCCCAAACCCAGAACCCTCACCGCCGCGCTGCGCAAGGCGGCCCTGTGGGGCGACCGCCCCTTTGTTAGCTCGATACTCGGGATGGGGGGAGCGGAAATATGGGGCCGGGACCAGAACCATCCCAACACGTGCGTGCACGAGGCTCTGCGGGGGCCGAAACCCGACATCGCTTTGGATATTTTGAACTGGTACCGAGAGGAAAACAAGGGGGCAGGGATTCAGTGGATTTTGGACGCCAAGGATAAGGAGACGGGGTGTACGCCCCTGCACGTTGCTGCTGAGTCCGGGAACGTCGGGGTCGTCATGGCGCTTGTGGAGATGGGGGCTAAAGTGGATGCGGTTGATGATTTGGAGAGGACGCCGTTGTTGATGGGGGCTAGGTACAGGCGCTTGGAGGTTGTGGATGGGTTGTTGGACTGCGGGGCTGATGCGGCGCTGGTGAGGAGGGAGCTGTGGGATAAGTGGAGGGAGGGGAGCAAGGAGAGGGAGGCGCTGGGTGGGTGGGAGGTTGTCAGGGGGGTTTTGAGGGGGGCGATTCAGAGGAGGAGGGGTTTGGAGTTGGGGGAGGAGGAGGAGGAGGAGGAGGAGGAGGAGGAGTTGCCAGAGGTGAGAGAGGACAGGGGGTTGGAAGTGGAAGAGAGTATAGTTTCGAGGGAAGAATCACCACAACCACCACCACGGGTAGACTCTGAGGGTGGTGCTTCGTTTGGAGGAGGAGGAGGAGGGGAGCCGAGTGGCAGCAGGGTTCCGGAGATGACCTTTGCTCACGATGCGCTGTTCAGAAGCATTACTGATATTATGGACGGTTCACGGACGCGACATGAAAGGGGGATTAATTGGCAGTTTATCCAGGCTGCGATGCTGTCGTCAAACCTGGGTGAGCAGGATCCCCTCGTCCGACGGATGCTTCATGTTCAGGGCGCCTTGAATAATCCGTCGATGCAGCCGAGCTTCGTGAACAGTCCTGAATACGAAGCCTGGAGGGCCGATTGTGAGGTTCTCCTTGCCGAGCACAGACGGCAGCGAGAGAGAAACCAGCTGGCCGAGGCGAGGGGTCTTGAGAGGTTTGGAGCGAGGAGGTGAACAGACGATATACCCCAGAGGTGCATAAGTTATAATACTGAACACGTTCTATTTCTTACAAATTTTGTCTGGGAAATCTGTAGAAAAAAACGTAAAATATGTGGACGGAAATTAGATGTATCTGAACGAACGATAATTAGAGGGAAGCCACCAATATTTAGATGGATCATCGAGCGAAGCGAGGGCGGGGGTTTGGGGGCTTGCCCCCATCAATCAATACACAAAGAAGAATTACGGTGGTAGTGGAGGCGGGACTTGGCTCCAAATGTATATTCATTATCAACTAAAAACAATATATACCCTTTTTCCTTTTCCTCTTTTCCTCTTTCCTACATGTACTTTTCGTACCTATTACCCCTCAGTGCGATTCGTGCGATTCGTGCGTTTGCTTCCACCCACCCAGCGTGGTCGCCTCGTTCAAGAAACTCGTTCCGTTCCTGGCACCAACCTCGTCACGTCCGACCAAGAACGACTCGGGAGGTCCCAAGTAACTGGGTCTGAGCCCTCCCAAGTTCACAATAACCTTTTGCACGATAATGCCCGGCATCAGGGCCCACACCTTCAGGGTGTACTCTCCCGCCTGGGGAGCCTTGTGGCTCGAAGTGGTGTACTTCCCCCTCAGGCCCCAGACGGCATCGGCAACCGCGTGGCCCCACCCCTCGGGCATGTTGGTCCCTTCTGTCGGACCGACGGGCTTGACGTTCACGGGAGCGTCGGGGGATCCCTTGGGAACGAGAGAGACGGCGTATTCGAGCGGGTCCCAGTCTCCCAGGTAGTTGAGAGCCGGGGAGATGAGCAGGGTGACGTTGGCGGCGGAGTGGTTGGTGAAGAGGTAGACGGAGTATTCCAAGGCGGGGGCGGTATCGACCGTGAGCTTCTCGTTGGAAAGCGGGTACAGTCCCACGCCGGTTCCCGTGCGGCCAAAGTCCTTAAAGGTGTGATAGGTCGCGTTGGTGTTGAGCGGGGAGGATTCCTTGGGGGGCACGATGGCCTTGTAGGAGGAGCCGACGATGGAGACGTGTCCGTCCGATTCGATGAACCCTTCGCTGAAGTTTGACGGGACGGTGCGGAGGGTGACGGGCACGTTCACGCGCGGGAGGCCGAAGCCGTACTTGTCCATTCCGCGGCAGGGGGTGGTGATGTTGATTGGGACGGGGGCGGAGACGGCGGTGGCGTTGAGGGCCGGATGGGCCCAGTCGATGGTGATTCGCACGCGGGTGTCTCCGCCTGAGGGGCCGACGGTGCCGTTGTATTGGGACAGCTTGACGAACGGCTGCCAGGGGGAAGCGGTCCAGGCGCACTCCTTGGTTCCGCGGGAGAAAATGTCAAAGTAGCGCGTGATGGGGCCGTACCTGTCAAAGGGCGGGACGTTGAGCTGGTTGGAGCTGTTGGGATGCCACTGGTCGTCACCCTGGACCGTGGCGTTGGATCCTTCGACGCCGATGCCGACCTCACCGGCGACGGCGGCAAAGTCGGTTTGGACGTGAACCATGGGAGGCAGGGTGTTGCGCATGGGCTGTTGCCAGTATCCGTCGTAGCCCAAGTGGGTTTGGTCCATAAAGTGCTTCCACTTGCCGTCCGAGACGGCGTCCCATCTCCTGGTGAGGTTGGCGTCCTGAGTGGAGTAGGAGAGGACGTCGGAGATGACGCGGTTGGCCGAGTTGCGCTTTTGCCCGGCGTAGAACCAGTTGCGCCCGCCGCCGATGTGGATCTTGTTGACGATTTCGCCGGCGAGGACGGGGTGAAGGACCGTTTGGAAGAAGGTGGGTTGTTGTTCGGCCGGGAGGACGTCGTAGATGGCTTGGGCCTCGCCGACGAGCTCGCTCCACTGTTGGAGGACGGCGTCGGCCTCGTTGTAGTTGATGAGGGAGTAGATGTGGGACTCGAGAATCTCAAACTTGCGGCGAGCGGCGAAGAGGCCGTACCTGGTCATGATGTCGGCGATGTGGCCGGCGTGGGCAGGGCCGAACTCGCGAGTGGCGTAGGCCTTGGCCCAGTCGTGGGCGCTGTCGACGGGCCAGCGGTTGAGGTCGTAGGCGAGATCGAAGTAGTGGTTGATGGGGATCTCGAGGGCCTTCATGTCGCCGACGTTGACAATCCAGATTCTGTCGGCGCCGCGGGCGGCAGTGTGGTGCATTTGCTCGGCGGTGCGGGTGAGTTGGATGGTGTTGATCCACTTGTAGTTGCGCGGGTCACCGACGTAGTCGAAGTGGTAATAGACACCGGCGCCACCGGCGCGCTGAGTCTCGTTGAGGAGCGGGAGTCTGCGAACGGTGCCCCAGTTGTCGTCGGCCCAGAGGAAAGTGATATCATCGGGGACCTCGAGACCGTGGAAGAGGTAGGTCATGACCTCCTTGTACAAGCACCACATCTGAGGAACGGTGGTGATATCGTCAACCTCAAGTCCGGTAGAGATGATCTCCCGCTGGTTGTGCACGAGCTCGGTCAACATCTCGACGATGTGCTCGACTCCCAGACCCTCAATGTGAGTATCACCAGTGCCGCGCATGCCCATGGTCCACAAGCTGTTGCGGGCATACGGCTTCGCTCTGGAAACGCCGTAGCGGAAGTACTCATCGATGGTCTTGTTGTTCTCGTTGTAAGCCCAAGGGCCAAGTCCCTTATCCCTGTAGAACTTGCCGAACTCGTTTTGGGCACGCATGAGCGGCTCAGTGTGGGAGGTGCCGAGAACGATCTCGAAGGCATCCGCAAGAGGCTGGTTGCCCGGGTCGTCGACCTCGAACATGGTCGCCCAGAGAGTGGGCCAGAGGTAGTTGGCACGAAGACGGAGGAGAACCTCAAAGATGAGGCTGTAGAATGCCGGACGGTAACCAGGTCCATAAGGGGTATCCTCCCAGCGGGAAGCGACCCAGTTGGTCAGAGCAGGCTGCTCGTCGTTGAGGAAGAAACCGCGGTACTTGACCGACGGCGGGCCCTGAACCTTCTTGGTCTTGGTGACGTAGAGGTTCTTGCTCTTCTTGGGCGGCGTATCAGCCCAGAAGTACCACGGGCTCACGCCAATCTGCTCGCTGACGTCGTAGATGCCGAAGATGGTGCCACGGGGGTCGCTTCCGGCGATGACTAG